CAACTTCATGGACTACGTCTAGGGTCACACAAACTTGACAATCTGTAGGGTAAAACAAACAGATTTGCAGAAGAGGCAGGACGAAAAGACAGGAATTCAAGTTAACATTAGAGAAGACAAAGGTGATGAAAATAATCAACAAACAAAACGACAGGTGCCACTCACTATTAGCCGAAGAAGTTTGAAACTGGTTACTTCCTTCGCTTATCTAGACAACACCTTTTCAACTACAGGCATAGTGAACGGATGGGGATGTCAAAACCAGACAGAGTTAGAAGGCCAAGAGAGACATTCATCAACCTGAAATGGGTTTGGAAGTTTATTGGGCTCAGCACAAAGAACAAATATGGATTTTCACCAACAGTTTTATGTCAGATCTTCTGTAGGTGTCAGAAAATTGGGCTGAACGTCACGAAAAGCATTTTCAACAAGCTACTTCAGACTTTTACCAAAAATTGCTTTCTCTAACTCAATAGGGAAGACAAGGTGGCCAGAGATAGTTAGCAACAAGAGAGTCTGGAAATGAAGCAATCAAAAAGCTATTCCTCATGAAATATTGTAAAGAAAATGGAGGTGGATCAAACACACGCAGAGGAGACGATCTAATGAAGTCGCGCTCAGTACCGGCGCTCGAATGAATCCCAAATGACAAACGACAAGCGGTAACATGCAAGAGACCGAGAGAGGGTGAGGTGGGAGACTATTGTCAATCGTGGGATGGGGCTGAGGGGGACTGTAGAGGAGAGGATGAAAGTGAGATGCAGTTCTTAAGCTCTGTTTCCACTCGTGACACAAAGGAACAATAGTAATAAATAATTTGTTCTTAGCGTCTTGCGGACCTTAGCTTGGCCGTCTGAACTATCTTTTGCGTCTCAATATAGTGGTCACAGGCTTCATATAATCATACCATCCTTTGGTCTTGCCAATCCTAACTCTTTTCCTGTTTCAGCTAGGACTTCTCGACGATGATGGTAGTAGCTGGCCAAGAGCACAACATCTCAAACCTCATCGACCAGATAGTACTTTACGCGTAGCCACATTATTGCACATCTTATCACATCACTTGACAGAAGAGATACAACTCAGAAATCTTTTTTTCACTGAGGACCATTTTTCACAGACGTAAAGAAAGACGCATATCCTTTAATGAATAGTCAGGTATAATGTGTATGCTGAAGATGATGTGACTACACTCATAAAGTCCTGATGTCATTACGGTGACATATCAGCTGCTTCTCATGCTAGTTTATATATTCATCAGATGCATGCCGAAAACAAAACTAAAAGTGTATAAGACGTAATCAGTGAAATTACACTGGATAGTCGGTAAACAGTCTCTCTAATTTCCAGAACTTTTTATCTCCCTCATTTCATTCCAGTGGTAATCCTTTATTTACCGTGGAGACTACTCTGACCTGGATGATCTTTATAGGTGGATATTCAGAAAACATACCTTGACGAATATGTTAATTTGATTGGACACTAACTAATGTCATGTATCCAGTCCTTTGGCTGATGCAGACTGTGACTGTGTTAGATGACTTGGTATCACGGTGCACTGCTCTGAGAATTGTTGACATTACATAGTTGGATGCAATCGGTAGGAAACCTTGGACCTTGGAAGCTTCGTTCTAGTTGGCACTTGTCAGTAAAGCGTGCCTGTAACCTGGAAAGAGACTATGTCCCTTATGAGAATCTAGCCCATGTGACCCAGTGTTGCACAGTCAGAGACGTTGTCACTGAGCTAATCCGACTCACGATCGACCACCTGTAGGATTGTAGTATATGCTTTGATTGAACAGTATGTAGTAAGTAACTAGTTTGATGCGTCTAATTCTTTATTCGGTGCAGACTTAGTTGTATCAGTCAGGTCTTGAAGGTGTCCAGTCAAAGTGTTCAATACAGTCCTACAGGAGGTTAGTCGCGAACTCGAATAGCCTAGTGGCAAGTCTCTGACTGTGCAGAACTAGGTAACAACATGGGTTAAGACTTCAGGAGGGACATAAGTTCCTTCGACATGATAGGTACGTCTTGCTGACTGGTGAGTACCAATAAGCATGCAGCATAGGTCGAGCAAGGCATCTTGACGATTATCCTCAGTCATGTTATAATTTTTGTGAAGAAAATGATGACAATATGATTCATCTTTACACCAAGGCAATTCAACTCTTAGCGCTACAACTTCGGGAACACTCATATGACTTAAGCTTTCAAAGCCTTCAAAGTCTAATTCCTTTTATCTCTAGCTGAAACACAGGCTGGAAGCCACTCATCAGGTATTTTATAAATATATCTTCATCTGGTGATTATTTTTTTGCATAGACCAAGGGAATAAACTTTTCATCAGATACAAGTAGATTGGTGATGCATTCAGTAAATATAAAATATATTTCGCCACTGAAAAAAAGAATGATTATAAATAAATATATATATATGTATAGATTCTTATCATGCAAAGAGTTTCTTGATAAAATAGAAGAAAGGCGTAGGCTGCGCAATACGATATCATATGAACTTTACATGAAATACCTCCATTGCTTCTAAAGTCTTTGAATTATTATTCTTGAGAGATGGTGGAATAAAAGTGCAAGCACCGCATGAAACAGAAAAAAAACTGGAGTACCTGACTTGTAAGGAATACTGATGGACAGAAGCGGGTGCATGATAGAAAAAAAACATGGGAAATCAAAACATCTTTCAACTTTTATTAAAGGGTGAATTTTTGTGAAATTACCCCCTCAACAAAATGTTAAGGATCAGTTAGCGGCAAAACAATAGTGAGAGAAATATGAAAGTAGCCAATTTTTTCACTTAGCCAGCCAGGTGGCATCATTTCAACTACAGGCGACACCATGGAGGATGATATCAAAACCAGAGTCAGAAAGGCAAGGTAGATTGGGCCTTCATCACTGTGAAATCAGTTTGGAAATCAACTACACTCAAATTAAACATCAAAATTCAAACCTTTTAACATCAGTGTTAAGTCGGTTTTACTATATGGGTCAGAAACTTGGAGCATCACAAAGTGCATTTCAAACAGGCCACTGCAGACATTCATCAGTAGCTGCCTCTGCTGGCTCCTTACTGAAGACCATATGGTCAGAAAGGATAGGCAACATGGAGATCTGGGGACCAACCAATCAACAACTTATTTCTCAACAAATATTCAGAAAAAAGAAGATGGATAGGACACACACTTAAGAGATTGTTGAGTGACACAGTACGTCAGGCCATCGTTCAATGGTGAAATGAAGGCGATCATTTGAGGATGATATGAAAGCTTGTAAGCAGTTGTGGAACTGGCTAAAGAGGACTGCAGAAAACAGGATGATGCGCTGTTGAGGCCCAATTTTCCACTCGTAACCCTTGAGAAGAGTAACAAAACAATAATTATTGTTTTTAAATAATATCGATTTTCAAAAGAATGGATACTGAACAAAGAATATCCTTTTCGATAATTTCCTCTTCTGGCGCTACAATTATATCTATATATACATGCATATATAATGTTTTTATTATTATTCGCAATTGGAGGTTCGGATAGCTTTCTTAGATGACTGAGTTTATCTGAATACTGTGATCTATTTCCGCAGGATATTTTGAATAATTCGATCGCACACATGTAATTGTCAAATGAATTTGTATGAAAAGTAAAAGTCAATTAAAATGAGGGATTTAAGCATAAGAATAATAATAAATAATACTATTCTTAGTAATATAATCAAGTTAGGATTCCCAAAGCAGATGACAGATTATCAACCTCACCTATACCCTGATACACTTAATTGGTATGAACCCCAAGACGGCTTCCAACATCATCAGTAAGGAGTGCTTACTTAAATACGCTGAGACCATAGCTACCCCCTCCTCCAACCCTTTACCTACTTTGATAATCCTAAACTCATTTTACTGCCAAGAGTAGTGTTAATTATCATCCTCCTTCTTCATAACTCCCCATCATTTTGTTTATTTTAACTGGTCTTTCATTTTCCATATAGAAATTTATATGGCAATTAAATGTGTGGTCAGATCGTTCGAAATGTATTTCGCGAATACATCATAATATTCAGATAAACTCAGTCTTCTAATAACGCTGTTCAAATTTATTAAAGCAACTAACTGTTTCAAATAAAAGTTCCAACAGTTTAGTAAACTTGCAAGTGTTGGTTTGTAGCTTTGATGACGAGATGACATCAATTACAGAACTATTTGAAAACCATTCTAGAAGTTCTGGATAGTGGTTTCGTCCTATTTTGGGACTATTCATCAGCACACACACAGGGGATAGAACTCAGGCGAGTTCGGAGACTTTCTAGCCACTGGGACCTGATCCAAATTCTACCCACTCACGATATATGAAGCGCAACTATCAGCCAGTGTTATAGGCGAGTAACTGTTCTCTTAATTCACCAGTGACCAGTAGAGTCCACCGGGTCAGGTATGAAGAAAATTACTTCACAATCGCTGACACTGGATACCGGTTGCGCTATGTATTGCGAATAGGAAGTAGCTGGGATTCATGAGCGGTTGGATCGAGTCTCATTGAGTGTGTGGTCTGCTAGCTGACCTTTGTAATTGGAAGGTGCTTGGTTTGAACGCTGGTTGGTGTGTTTTGTGACAAATATTTATGTCGTATCATTACCCTACAAATGCTACCTTTTCGACTTATGTATTTCTTTCAAACCTTCACGGATAGTTTGATACTGGGCCCAAGGAAGTGAACTCTGTTTGCATCAAATATATGTTCTAGAGAGGCGGCAATTTCATTAAAATTTCCATGTGCTCTATCTAGGTCCAAATCAGTTTCGGTATGTCTTGAAAACTGAATTCAGACATCTGCCATTAAATAAATTACGGCAGATATACGATAAGATGTATTCAGAAGAAGTGTCTTCGATTTGAATTGGTAAGGTTTAATTTTGGTTTATCAGAAAATTAGTCAAGTGATCTTTGAGAAGTCTGTAGTGTTTAACTCTCTGACTATTTATTTTCGCTTTCAGGATCTAACCATAACTGTAACCACAGAGAGACCAGATACCGAGGTGGATATTATTCCTGACCAGGTAGAAATGTCCGCAATAAATATACAGACATTTGTCGACCAACAAGTAAGTACATTTATGTATATATTTATCATTTTAATTTCAAATTTACGTTTGAGTATCAGGCACGGGGTTTAAATATAGAAGAAAATCAACCACAGACTTGATAGTAATAACATCTTTATTACAGACAGTACTTTTGGTACAAATATGGAATTTTCAGCGTGCAATACAGTATTGCATCTAGCTTTCTCATTACAAGTGTAATAATTAAAAACAGGGCATTTATATTGATAATATTGTTCAATAAGAATGTGAGTATTAAATTAAATTAAGTGAAAACAATAACAACGATATGATAAAGAGAGAAAGAATATAAAGGGTCGTTTAGCTTAGAGTTCCGCACTAAGTTGCTAATATCCTGTCTTACAATTCTCTGTTCACATAAAATGTGTGCCTGAAGAATGAGGTACTTTAAAATTTTTTTACTTATTGTTCGAGTACACAGTCTTCCTTACTTGCTTCTAGTTCACCTACGTGATGAGATGCTATGAGGGAGTTGTGCATATAAAGGATTTTCAGAGTCTGACAAGATAATATTTGCTGATTTCTAGTAGGCGTCCATGTATCTATCTACAAGAGTATTAACGAGGTGGTTTAGCGACACCCCACTCACCCTACTTATAGCTTTAAGTGCCCTTCGCGGTATAGCAAAGTCTTTCTTAAGTAGCTCAGGTAAGAATAAGGTGAGAGAGGGGAGCACTAGAGAAGGATAGGCAGAATACAAAAAATTAACAAACTGTCAGAATATAGACCGAGTAATATCAGACAGTCTTAACTTCCTCACGTCGAACGTCAAATGATATATCTTTCTAGAGACTAAATTGATTTGGGAAGTACCAGGAGAGATCACATGAAATATAGAATCACAGGTATTTAACATTAGATTAAGTCTCAACCTCTATGCTATCTATGATAGTGGAACCATGCAAACTAACCAGCAGACATGTAAATAAGAACAAATAATTCAACGAAGAGACTATTTTCGGCAATTTCATTCAAATATCTGTAAGATTACAACCATGTATAATTAATTTTGTTTTCATAGAATGATTGAGTAATTATACATTGGGCTTTCAAATGAAAAGAACACACATTCGAACCATTTGAAAGACTAAAATTGTATAGTCTTATTTTTTTATGTCGCTTATAATTATTATTAATAAACACAATTTTATATGCGTAGACGCGATTCTATAGCTAGGAGTATGAAATCGCCGAAAAAATCCCATCACTGAAATACTTGTTATTTAGGGAAGTTCTGAAGATGGATACTTGTCACAGACACCTAGAATAGATTTTGGAAATATAAATTTCATAGATAACCAAAAAATCGCCTTAGGTTTACTTATAATCTTCTAAATTTTATTTCTCAAAAATAAGATATTTATTCAGAACGAAATTGGTTAGAACAAACAATTGTGGTTTCAATAAATTCTCCTTCTTTAGGCTCTGCAATTATATATCCATTAATTAATTTAAGCAAACGATAGCTAGTCAGTAAGTGCAAATTACAATCAAATCAGAAATGGGACGGAACAACAGTCAGTTGGTTTTTGCATATGCATGGCCGATGAGAACATGAGATAAAATGAGATGAAATAATTTAAAGATATAAATATATATATATAGAGAGAAAACATGGGAGTACTGGACAGCTGTTTCATCCTAGTTTGGGTACAAAAGGTCAAAGGTGAGAACACTTACTCATCGAAGACACTGCTAAGTGGTCGCTCTATGCCGTGAATTGGCAGAAGTTGGAATTCATGGGCTGACCAATGGATCGGGTACTAGTGGTTTTGTGGTCTACGAGCTCGCCGCGTTGTGACTGGATGGTTCTTGTTTCGAACCCCGGTGGGTGCGTACTGATGAAGAGTCCCGAACTAGGGCAGAACTGCTATCAAGTACTCCTTGGTGCTTTTCCAATGGTTTTCTAACCGATCTCAGCTCATGATGAAATCCCCTAACCAATATATACATATATATTATATATATATATATATATATACTGAACAAAAGTACAGGTTTCGAAGGTGAGTGTAATCAGTGGTGTAAGGGAAGCCATATGAATAATACAAAAAATAAACCAACGAATGGGATGGACTAGACGTAAGTTCAAGGGCGAAAATAACGTCAATAATAATGATCGTGAAAGGATAACGATGATGTAGTGTAGACTTAAAAGTACTATTAGTGAATGATTGTCAAATAACAATAATGAATTTAGTGAAGTGAAATTATCAGGATTTTTTGTAAATATTATAAGAAGTTGGAAAAGCATTACTTAAACCTAAGGTAATAGAAACCATTAGAAAGGTCATGAAGTCGTAGAAGGTCAGAAATGGACGTTTTTTCAATGAAACAGAGGAAAAGAAGAAGAAAAGAAAAAAATGTGATGGGAATTTAAAGTGCTAATCTTAATGGAGGAGATGTTGGCCTTATTTTTGGGCCAAAGTTAACATAGCTGTTGAACATACCGGTATTCTGTATACAAAGATCCAGTCTTCTGGTATTCATTGCTACTGCATCTTTCTGGATGGATATTTCTTATTCTTGGCTATAAAATCAAATAAAAAGCGGTAAGTACGAACAAGAAAGAAGTTCACCTTAAATGCGTTTAAATAAAAAAAAATCAAGTCTGGACATGTTTCTCCTGAATACATAGATCTCGTTAAGTCAAACAAATGACCAGAACTTAAGCTGCACGAAGATTACGCAGACGCTTCCAACGTGATAATATTGAAGTAAATGGCAGAAAATAGTTTATTACAGCTTATATGATGCTGTGTATTAACCAATTGTGCTAGAATACAACCTCCGTTGGATTGAACTCGGAGGTGAATCTGCCTTACCATACACTTTCTATAATTTAATGATCAGAAATAATAAAATCAGTAGGTATATGAAGACGAGATAAAGCTAGTTAAATTGTCTTCATTTCTCGTAATTAACGTTGAACGCCTATGCACTGTTATACATGAGTGTTGTGGTTATAGAATATTAGGCGAACTAGCAAATGAAGGCTTTCTCTGCAAATTGTTGAGTGCAATGCTTGGTGAATGGTGGCTGACTGGCTGGGGCGCAAGACACCTGTTCTGTGCTATTTATGTCTCTTCAACTAGATGTACCCGTATTCCCAGTGAGTGTTGGTGTTTTCATTTGGAATCAAACCTAACATTCGTCGTTTCAGAAAGGAAGGACGACGGACTTCGGCCAACAACAATAAGTCAATTGAAAATTCAAAATAAATTCAACGAATAATTACACCAATTCTAGCCGGTAGTAGGCTGTGAAAAGAGGGAAGGTTAGGCTTGGAGCTAGCCACCTCACCCCGAGGAAGACAACACCACTGAGCTACTGAAGCTTCGAAGTTCAACCTTGAAGCCGTTTGTTCTAGTCGGAAAGCAAAGGAATTTAATTAGGTAACTTGCGATAGTTCAAAGGCAAATTAAAATCTAGGCGGCGGTAAGATGCAAGCTGGTAGTCTTTGGATTACTATTCTGGCGCTCAGCCAGTTGAACTGTAAAACTGAGCCGCTAAATACATCATCACTTCAGTCCTCACCATTAATGCCCATCCAGTGTGTGAATGAGTGGTACGTCAGTATACGTCTATCACCACGCTGGATGTCTTTCGGAACATTCTCCTGTCAATCTTATTTATGCTGAATAAGAAGGAAACATTTATTTCCAAATACGAATTTAAAAACAAGCAACAAACGTTTTTAATCAAGCAGGATTTGATAGTGTGGAATATTTCCATATTATGAATTAAAAGTCAATCTGAACGAAGAATATTCTTTTCAGTAATTTATCTTCAGGTTCTTACAATTGTAAAATATAATATTCGTTGTCGTTACAATAAAGGTCAGTTATACGGCGGGATTTAATCCAGCAGGATTTAATGAATTCATCAAATTTCGGCAGAACTCATCTTCAGCGGGATACTCCGCATACACGGGTATATATATATATATCATTAGAAGAAGTAAACCCGATTAAAACTATCAAAACAGTTCCAAAGAAATCTGTATGTTAAATATTCTCACAGTGAAACTTAGAACAACACATTTAAGCGAACAATACTGATTTCAATTAGATCTCATCAGGCTTAACTCTAATATTCAAATGTTGGTTCGTAGGGATTTGATTGGTTTCAGGATTTTCATCATGAGCTGGTATTAGTTAGCGAACCATTGGAAAACCTGGGAATACTGGACAGCTGTTTCGTCCTAGTTTGGGACTCTTCAGCATATACCTACATAACTTCACAAATAAAAATTCAAGTGTAAACTAACCATGTCTATAGGATAATAAGATGGTGAATATAAATTGTGCAATTAGTCATAGTAGTAGTAATGATAATAATAATGGCCTTATCAATAATAAGGATGGAAAAGTGAGGCGATCTGTCATAACACGAATATTAAACAACAGCATGATTAAATAAACAAATGTTCAGGTGAAAGAAGTCGATAAAGGCTAGTAAAAACAAATGAACCGATTAAGCAATGTTAGATTCTAAGGGAAGTAAATAAAACACGTTTTTAATGAAGATATGGTAAGATCAAGGGATGATGAGAGACGTTGAAAATATAAGTTAGGGGTGGTGTAGAAATCATTAGTTGGTTATGCCTTAATAGGCCAATAAGGGAGGGATAATGGTTGTACAAACTTATTTTGAATGCATAGTTTAGGTTTAATAGTTCGAATGCCTATCGCCTCATTTGTGTGCGGTAGACGAATACGAAGTTTATTGGAAAGATTCAGTGGGATATGATGAATTACTTTGTTTTTGTCTGTCCTTTGCCAAACCACGATGGGAGATGTTCTCTAACACGGTGGTTGGCTAAGCTGTCTAGTAATACGCCCAACATAACTGTCACCACAGGTGCAGTTGAATTGATAAATGCACATAGATGCGGGAAAACTATGTATCCGTATATGCATATATATATCAATTTGCCGTTCAAAAGAGATGTGTACCAGAAGAAGTTAAAAGAAGAC